ATTTTACAGCTTATTTTAGCAGTACAGAATTGAAAGTTAATGAAAAAAAAAAAAGTTGTTTTCTATCCTTTCTTTTTGAGACGGTAGAGTAGCATTAGAGACTAAGCGAAGCTGTTGTAGAAAATAGCAGCAAATTAAAGTTGACTAAGGTGTATTACGGTAACTGGGCAACTACTGCACGACTGAGCCATCGATTTGAACAACTTCGCTCATTTCGCCCAATACAATACGACAACGACGAGTTAGAAGCTGTGCAAATGGATAATATGTATCATAAACCGGGAAAGATTGCATAAACAAACGTGTATATAAACATCTCATCTTCCGCCTTATTTTTCGTTGTTTTTTCTTCCTACTTGTTATTTCACTAAAGCTAAACACAAAAACGATAGAAACTTCAACCTTTTTTAAACTAAACTTTTATGTCAACCGTTTCAGTACACCATTTTACAACGATCGCCTCAATTTCGCTATGTTTATGAATATTCCATTGATTCTTCAAGTTCATCACCTGCCTCTCTTTTACTTTTACTTTCTTGGCATTTAAACTGTTCTTTTTTCAATTCCTATTACTTTTCTTTTACGTATCTCTAAATATTTCGTGAAGCAAATGGCTTTTTTCCTTTACATAAAGATATGGATTTTGCATTTTATTCGTTTTGCATAAAAAAAAGTGCTGCGAGAAAATATTGACAGTTTCGTCGACGGCATATTATTAAAATAAAGATTTTACACAGCGTTTTCTCGACCAAATCCTAAAGACACTGTTGGGTGAATGCGACTGAAAACTAACCGAAAAATGTTTTTAGGTAACTGCTAGGCAAGAAGCAGTGTTAAATTGTAAAAAAGCGTTGTTTATTGACAACTGAAATCAAAAAAAAAAAATTTGGGAAAAGAAGTAATATTTTTTGGCGACTTCCTTTCCGATGTAATAATCGCCTATTTACCAAACAAGAATAAATGCAGGGTCACTGAATAAAGTCAAGTTACAATTACATCGTTCAATTAGATTAAGTGCCTAACTAGACCTCGCTTTTTTGTGTCAGAGAATGTGAGAACCCAATATTGTTACAGATTCTTTTTCTAATCAAGAACGGACGAGAACGTACCCAATAACACTATATTCAAAATTCCAATTTATGTAGGCACTTCACCAAGATTTTTGAACCGTATGAACCAAGCAACATTCCAATTGCATGATACTGAAGCACCAACTTAAGATCAGCTGTTCATACGAAGTAAGTTGGTGACAACGCTGCATCCAACAAACACACATTTCGTGATCACCGATGATATTTGGTCAAGCCATGTTCATGCCTTTTTCTCTCTCAGCTTGTTCATCCATTCATCTATAATACGCTCAGCGTCTATCAGGTCTATCCGCTTTCTCGACTTTACTATTAGCGCATTTCGCAGTTTGAGGAGTAACTTTTTTTTTGGATTCTCTAATGTCTTCTTTACCACCGCATTCTGTTCTTCAAAAACCATATTTAACAATGCAGATATTTCGCCTTCGTCCGTTATCCTCCACAAATTTCTCTGACCTATTACCTATTAAAAAAACGCGCATTATGGATCCAATTAATAATTCTGTTACCGTATTAAACAAAAAAAAA